GCCCTTTAAGTCATGAAAAGGTCAGTTGCAGGAGGTTTTGAGGTTGGTTWTAGCTCAGAAACACAAATTACATTTGATCAATGGTGATAAGAAGCTACAGCTAAGTTAGTGGTATTTGCTCTTTCATTTGACGAAGTACATATAAATACAACTGTAAGACTTCCAAAGGTACCATACTGTTAACTCTCAGTGTTTAGTCTGCACACAAGCACATCTGGAGGGAACCAGAGCTGGTGTACAGTTAGGTACTGAGGATGACATCATAGAACAGTAGGTCAGACGTGGGTTTGGATGAGAGAAAGTCCATTACTCATTCATTAGACTCATGACGGAGGCTCTGGCTTCTAGGCCGATGAATCACTAAGTCTTATACTGTACTTGTACTGCTGTGTTTGACATGCTTCAACCGCATGAGTGTGTTCATAATCATTTGCATCATGTGCTCAAGCAACTAAACCGTTCCCCCCATTTTCTCCCCCTTTTCACTTTTTTCTTATCTCCTCCTCAAATGTGCACGCATAAGAATGAAGACAAAAACAGTGAGGAGTTTGGGCACATCTCAAAGGACAGCTTCTGCATGAGTTGGTCAACAGTGGAGAGGGGGGGACCTTACAGCTGTTTGGAGCAGAATATGCCAGCCACTGACAGCGTGCCAAACAGGAAAAAGAGCTGCACACACACAATCCTGCTTTTTTCTGTAATAATAGTGGGCTTACTATTAATGCAAAAAATAAAATAAAATCTCAAGCCTCTTACTCTGAGGAAAACTCCCGAATCTCATATTTTAGCTTTGTACAGCAAAAGTGTGCTTTTAATTTTACATAAATTATAAAACAACTCACACAATGTCGTGCAGGCACAACTAGTTACAAAAAAAACAAAAAACAGTTGACTACAAAAACCTTGACTAAGGTAATATAACCTTTAAACATCACGGCCAATCAGCCAGACAGTCATGGGTTCATCATGAACACAGTAAATGTCAATTGTTGCCTTAACAAAAGTCCGCAGTGCCTGGAGGCAGGAAAACACAGCAAACTGGCACACGTACGTATGTTCCTGCTGGTGTCTCAGTGAGGCAGCACATTTACTGCAGGGGTTTAGATGATGACACATTAACATAATAAACACAAGAAACACTGCAGCTGAAGAACAATTTTTGTTTTCCTTCTTTTTTTTGTGGTTAACAGACACATCTGCGAGTGTGATAGCATGGCTAAAGGGAGGTTTAATCAGAAATCTGAAAGGAAAATAGCTGTCAAGGCATCAGGAGTTCATATGACATATAAGCCTGATTCACTGAGACAAGTGTTTTGTTTTATCAGGTGCAAATTTTTGTACCTCCTTGTTCCTATTCAGGMTCACAGGGCCACAGAGACAAAAACAAGCCAATCATTCACACTCTTATCATACCTAGTGACCATTTAGAATTGCTGACTACCTAACCTGTATGTTTTTGATCACAGCAACCTTCTTGCTGTGAGGTGAGCCAGCTGAGGTGGTTTGGGCATTAGAAGACCCTAGAGGAAACTGCCTTGGGATCCCATCCAGCAGGAGCTGGTGAGTGTCCCTGAGGAGAGGGACGTCTGGGTTTCCCTTTTGGATCTGTTGTTTCCACAGCCCAACCAAATAAGCAGAAAAAAAAAAAGAAATTGGATGGATGGATGAATGCTTAGTTTGAACTCAGCTATAGTCATAGTTTACATGCCACAAGATAGATTTGATGAAACAAAACAAGCATGACATTGATTGTACAATACATAACATGAACATGTGTGCTGCTGAGCTGCAGAACTCTCAGAGCATTATCAAACACTGCAAGTCAGGGTTCGCATTAAAACAACTCTGTGTTGTGTATAAATGTTAGGGGCAATCAGTATCTTATCTGCTKTAGATAACTTTTCAAATGGCCTGAGTTTGGAAAAACGGTTTAATTCTGGCCAGATTGATGAGCTAATAGCCGTGTTTCCATCAAGGTTTTTAAATGCAAATTCTGAAGTATCGCATCAGAAAAGGTGAGTGGAAACAGCATGATTCGAAAAACTTCCTCTAATTCACATAAAAGTTGAAACGCTCGCTTGAGTTTTTTTTTTTTTTTGTTTGTTTTTTTACAAAAGAAGAGTTAATGCTTAAAAGGACAGATGGAAGCACATTTGCCGAATCACTTCTGACGTAGCGAACATTTACCTCACGTGCTGATCAGCTGTTCTCGCTGTCTGTCCGAAACCGGTACTGGCACCAGAGCGACTGCAGCTGCGACTGCAGCTGGACCCTCCTATCGCTGTCGGCGTCTTCTCAGTTATACCCGTAACGTGAAAAAAAAATCACATTTCTTTCTCTACGTCTCCAGACAGTATGTAACATTACCAGAACTAGTTGATATGACAGAATAAGTACAAATTTCCCAATAGTAGCAACACGTTCCTGATAACGTCCCTCCATTTTCCTGAGATGTGGCTTTTACTTCCTGTTTACTACACGTAAGCATCTGATGAAACTGATTCGCTTCAAGCCAGTTGATGGAAGCACGTCTGATTCACATTTATCCGTTCTTTCCTTTTTGCGAAATTTTAAAACTTTGCTCAAAATTCGAATTAGAATTGGATGGAAACACGGCTAATGGCTAGAGGACCAAGATGTTCTGTCACCCTCTTCAGTTTGTGATGTCTCATTTCCGTGTATTGACGCCCTCAGTGTGTTGTGTCGATCTTTGGATTCACCAAGATTTAACAGACATTTCTCTGGATGAGACACAGCTTTCGCTCTCAAACACGCTCACTAGCCAATCCGAATTAGAGTGGGGSATCTTGACAAAACTCTAACCCAGCAATGATTGCACACCAAGCATGGACCACAGTTATTTTATGAAAGAAGAAGAATATGCTGACTKGGGTAGAAACGCTTCAATAACAGTTATGTTTTTGCCACATTTACAGCCTTTTTTCCCACTCCACAAATTTTGTAACTTCCTCATCCAAAATCCTATCTGAACGTTGGCTGAGAAATCCTTGACTCTCCTGTGGTAGCCRTTCAGAGCTGCCTAAATGCTTGCTGGTACAAAGCACCACCTTTTTACCCACAGCTCCTCCCTGGAGCTCAGTCCACAGCTGAGCTTCTGCCTCTCCCCCCACAGCTCCACAGACTAGCAAAATGTAACTTAAAAATGGTGGATGTTCATGATTTCATTGAAAAACAGAGCTTCATCATGATCTACATTTATAGTTCTTTCGCAAAAATTATCTTAACATGAGAGAACAACTGGGAGATATATGACAAGCTGAAACATCTTGTCAGAGCCTCTGTACTTGCTCATGTTCTTCAAAAAACATATGTTCTGCGTCTGATGGGATCATTTGAATAAGATTCAACGGTGTTGCYATTTTCCAAAACCAATATTACAAAATGTTGCTTCTTTTTTTTTTTTTACAATAAAATACAATGCTCAGTTGAAAAGTTGTAAATGGCGTGAAATGTTGTGAAGATGTGCTGAAGTGGGAGTGTCAGTAATGGTAGGATGTTCTCAAAGAGACACAGACTAAGAATAAGGTATTTAGCTATGRTGCAAAGTCCAGTTTATTTTTTGATTTATACAGCATTTACACAATAACTGAACTGAACTATGTGCCTAGAAAATACATAATACCCCCCAAATTGTTGTAATACACAAAAAGTAATACATGTTGCTGCTGTTATTTGCACTTAAGACTTATTTGCAAATATAGTGTAAGGCGGAATTAGTGAAATTTTTAACTTTCACATGAAGCGTTGAGAAATTTTTGAGAGAGTTTTTGTAAGATGCAGTATTCCAGTTTGAGCATTATGAGTCAGTTCAAAACATGTAAGATACTCTTTAAACTAATCTGGAATAAAGAAAACTATCAGTGAGGACCAGATTGCACTGCTGGTAACACTGCAGAACAAACCAGAATACTTGCATCTAATTTGCAGCTGTATACATTAGGAGGCCACAGGCCAGATCCAGCCGAGCAGCGGCTCTTCTGAAAAGTCACTTCAAGAAATCAAGGTGCAGCGGAGAAAAGGTCACTTATAGTGCCAAAAATRAAATAAAATAAAAATAAAATAAAATAAAATGTGAGCGGGAAGGGTGAGCTGGGGGATGCAGTGATGCTCACATAATCATACATATTTTGCTCGCCTTCACACACACACATGTAGCACAACAAGCAGGCCATATTATCTTTAACACATAAACAGATTGTGTGTTCGTCTCACAATCAGCATGGCTCAGCGTGCAGAGATGAAACAGAACATTTTAATTGTTTTCATCAGATTCCCCTGAGCTGCTGAGCTTGGATTATTTTATTTGCAAAWCGTACAAAGACTCTGACAGTCTGAGCAACTGGATCCCCTCGTGGCTACAGTAATTTCTCTAAACTCACATCAAAGAAACTCCCTTATCTTTTTTTTCTCCCCTCCATTTGGCTGCAGGCTTCTTTGCACTGTACAATAAACACGAGAGTGTAACACTCTCGCTCAGGCAGAAAGGGGAGGGAAAGCTTTGAATCAATCAGAGGAAGGATGCATTTCTTGTTAGACTGTGTGATGGCGCAACCATTTGCACCAAATCTACTAAGAATTAAGGGTTGACGCACATATTACAGGGAAAACCACAGTTTTCTGCTGGCATGTAAAAAAATCTTTATATAAGTTAAAAGCTTACCATCTGTTAATGTAGAAATAACAGTAAAAATCTACAAGGATAATGAAATTTAAAGGGGTGGTATCATGCAAAMTTGAMTTTTTTGAGGTTTAAATCATGTTTTAATGACGTTCCTTCATCAAAAACATTGTGCACCCCCCCCCCCAAAAAAAAAAAAACGATATAATTTTATTCAGAAATACAACAATATAACAATAATGATAATATAACACTGGTGTTAACTCAGCTTCAGTGACAGTACACATCCAAGATGKTTTTATTTATTATTTTYTTTGGTTTGCATTCTAATTTAGTTAGAGAAATACAGCTGTTCACTCACCCACTGCAAAACACGGATAAATCCCAGAGGTAATTTGAGCACCTGAAATGTTCCCACAGACGCGAGCTGCAAAAACATAAACAAATATTTAAAAAAAGAGGGGAAAAAAAAGAAAAGAAAACCACAATTCTCTAGCGCCAATTAATGGTAATTAGACCCAAAGAGGTAATTCTCTCATCCAGTCATCCCACCTGGTTGGCGGAGTCCATGTCAGCAGCAGGTCACTCCGGTTAGTTCACCTGTTGGAGGAAAACCGAATAAAAACAGCTCCGAGCCGCAAACACCGGACTGATGCGCCTGTCGCGTAAACAATCAGGGGCTCGGATTCCGACTGGGACCGGAAAAGCCCGAGCAGTCCCCGATATTTTTTTTTCTTCCGCCTTTTTTCCTGAGGGATAAACAGCATTTTCCTGTGCTGACATTCGGATTGGTTCCGCAAAGAGGAGTGACCTATTTATTTATTTGTAATTGGACAGAAGGTCTTTACAATTCTTCATTGTCGTTGTCAACTTAATCCACGAATCTCAGAAGGTTTTAGAAAAAAAAGCTGTCACCTGAATTTGTCTCATATGTTTTATTTGTTGCATTAGCTTATTTTATTTTGCTTTATATTGTTTTTATTAATTATTTTTGCTTTTTTTGTGAAGCACTTTGTGATCAATAAAAAGTGCTATATTTCTTATGAGCTGAAACATTGTATAAAACCAATATCAAAATGAAAACATGATCATTTTTGCAATCATAGCAAACACCGCTTTATATTGTTTTTATTAATTATTTTTGCTTTTTTTGTGAAGCACTTTGTGATTAATAAAAAGTGCTATATTACTTATGAGCTGAAACAGTGT